CATGCACTCAAATGCGCCGACGGCGAAGACGATCCTCGTCCCAAGCTCGATGAGCTCAAGCGCCTTCTCCAGGACTATGCCGGCGTCGGGCGGGGTCATGGCAGACACCGAACTCAAGAGCATTGTCATCAACCTGCTCTCACCCGTTTGGGCCTTCACCATCCGCACCCTCCTCACCCAGTACAAAATCCAGGCTACGATCATGGCCACCACCAACCCTTCCTCCAAACCGCCCGAGCTCACCGCTGAAGCGCTCATCGACACCATTCGCGATCTGGCAGACACAACCGGCGCGATGCGAGACCCAGCGGAGGCAACCTCAGGTGGAGCTGCTCTAGTTGTCGGGAACGCCAAACCAGATGACGTCTGCTCTAATTGCGGGAAGAAGGGGCACTGGAAGCGAGACTGCTGGTCAAAGGGAGGAGGGAAGGAGGGTCAACGTCCTTCGAACTGGAAGGCCATAACGGGCAGAAAGGGGAAAGACAAGAGGGGCAAGGGGAAGGGGGGAGGAAACGGCAACAACAACAACGGGAATAACAGTGGAGGGGGAGGGAGCGGAACATCAGCTGCGGCTGCCACTTACGCTTTTGCGTGGATGGTCAGCACGAACTTCAAGAAGCTGGAGACATATGGCATCATCGCTCTCAGCTTTACCGCTCTCCTCGACTCTGGAGCCAACAACCACTACTGCCCTTCTCGTGACCGGTTTGTGGAGTTCGAAACACTCAAGAACCCTAAACCCATCCGTTCCGCCGATAACCGCACCTTCTACGCAACTGGTGTCGGTAATGTCCCCATCTCCGTCATGCATAAGGGGCGGAAGATCGACATCCTCCTCACCAACGTCCTCTACTGTCCGGAGATGCCCGTCATGCTAATCTCTGTCGCTGTACTCGTTAAGGCCAAGTTTTCCGTCCACTTCGAACTTGACGGTGCACATGTTCTGGCACCTGATCGCACCACCATCCTCGTTGTACCCGAACGCAATGGTCTTTATCCTATCACGGAAGTCCATGGGTCAACTACTACCCCTTCGAAACCCTCTCCCGACACCGCTCTCGCAACCATGTCCCTTCACGAATTCCACTGTCGCATGGGCCACGCTGACGTTCGAGGACTCAAGGCCATGGTCGACCGTCAAATCGTAGATGGCATCGTTCTCACTAAAGACGAGGCTGGCTTCTGCAAGGGATGCGCCCAGGGTCAGCTCAAACACGACCCATTCCCAAAGCAGCGTGCCAGTCCACCAGCCAAACACTTTGGAGAACGAGTTCATAGCGACATTTGGGGACCCTCACGAATCGAGTCGCTCGGGCACAATCGGTACTTTATTGTCTTCGTCGATGACAACTCCGATGAAGTTACCGTTACAGGCCTACGGGAGAAATCGAAAGCCTTTGAGGCATATCGTCATTACGAGGCATGGGCAAAGCAACATCGGGGGGCAACGGCGATCGGGGAATTGCAGACGGACGGAGGGGGGGGAGTACACGAGCGGAAAGATGGAGACACATTTGAAGGATCAGGGGACGCATCACCGTACCACTGTACACCATTCGTCGGCACAAAATGGCACTGCTGAACGTGTTCTCCAAACCCTGATGGCCCATGCACGCAAGATGCTACATCACGCAAGCTTGCCTCTTTCGCTCTGGCTTGAGGCCGTCGTACACGCCGCTTGGTTACGTAACCGAACCGAAACGAGAAAGACTCCAGGCTCAACACCACACGAGCGGGCAACCAAAAAGAAGCCCGACTTGTCACAAATCCGACGTTTTGGCGCAAACGTCTGGGTAAAGTTGGAGGGCGCATCGAAAATCGACAAACAGTCGAAACCATGTCGGTGGATAGGAATTGACACCCACGCCAAGGGTCACCGAATCTATTGGCCAGATGTCCGTCGCGTTTCCATAGAGCGCAACGTATGGTTTGAGGGGGAGCCTGATGAGACGTATTTTCCTGAAAGCGTCACAATCGAGAGGGAGATGGAGACTAGTTCTGGCGATCGCGACGCTTCGAGCTCAACATCTACTCCGGATCCTTCCCCACCCCCAAAACCGGAACAACCTAAGGTGTCGATACCACCACCGCCTGTCGCTCCAAACCGCCCAATGACACCTCCAAGTCCTATGTCCGACCTCACTGTGTCAGAGACTGGGGACCAACCTCCGCAACCTCCAGAGGAATCTCGCCGTACTCGAAAACCCAGTCGATGGATTCGAGACCTGCAGGAGGGAAGAGGGATCACGGCGTCAAAAGTGCCACCGAGCGTCATGCCGGACAAACTTCCGGAAAAGCTACCGGACGAACCGCAGGCAAAGGCCTCACTCGCTGTCGACGACAACCGCAACTGGCTGGATGGAGCCATTGCTCAACTTGCGATGCGCGAGATGTTTGCGGGGAATGAACAACCGTTGATCGCCCTCGCCACGATGGATGGGGATTCACCGACGGACCGAGAGGCCATGGAGAGCGACGAGAGTTCACACTGGAAAGCCGCCAAGTCAGCAGAGGTTGGGAAATTGAAGGACAGGAAGACATGGGTAGTGGTTAAACGCCCTCATAACGCCAACGTCCTCCCCAGCTCATTTGTTCTTCGACGCAAGCGGAGACGAGAACAACAATGTACGCGAATATAAAGCGCGACTTGTGGCTGGTGGCGACCGTCAGGTCTACCAGGTCGACTACACCGAGACTTCCGCTCCCACTATCACCCTAGCGACATTTCGCTTCCTCCTTGCGCTAGCCGCTCGACATGATCTCGAGGTCGAAAACATTGATTTCTCGAGTGCGTATATCAACGCAGAGCTCAAAGAGACGGTTTACATGCGCCAACCCCGCGGCTTCGAGGAGCCTGGGAAGGAGGACTGGGTGTGCTTATTGCTACGGGCGATCTACGGGTTGAGACAGGCAGGGAGAGAGTGGTACAAGGTGGTATGTGCGCTGATGGAGAGCTTGGGGTTCAAGAAGTGCGACGCTGATCCTGCCGTCTTCTACATCTTCGAGAATGGCATCGGGGTGATAGTTGGCATTCATGTCGACGACTCACTTATCCTCTCTAACTCAGCCAATGCCTGCTCAGCACTCAAACGCGAAATCGCTGGTCGCTACGCCATTACCGATCTCGGTCCTGTTCGGTGGATACTCGGGTTTGAGATTCGACGTCAACGAGATGCTGGGACGATCACCATGTCCCAAGGCGCTTACATCGACACATTGGTCAAGCGATTTCGACTTGAGAAGGCCAACCCATTTTCCATCCCCCTTGACCCACATACCGACCTTCATGACGCCAACGCAATAACCAACAAAATCGAGTCGTCAACACCATTTGCGCCGACTCATTGGCTCGCTTATGTATGCAGCCGTCGGCACTCGACCGGACATCTCGTTTGCGGTCTCCAAACTGGCTCGATTCATGTCTAATCCAGCACACGTCCACTGGGAGGCAGCAAAGAAGGTCCTGCTCTATCTTATGGGAACTCGTGACTATGTCCTCACATTCGGGCTCAACGACTCGGGTTTCACTGCCTACTCAGATGCTGATCACGCCATGGATAAGACCGACTATCACTCAATATCCGGAAATGTCTTCATGTTCGACGGTACTGCATTCTCCTGGTCCTCTCGAAAGCAATCGCTTGTAGCGCAATCAACAGTCGAAGCTGAATTTATCTCGGCAGCCACAGCAGCAATGGAGGTCGTTTGGCTGCGTGGTGTTATCTCGGCGCTTGGAGATCTGCCTATGGAGCCTGTTATCGTTCATTGCGACAACCAGGGCACCATCTCACTGGCGAATAGCGGTCTTATGAACCCTCGAACTCGTCATATCGCTATGCGCTACCGCTACATCCACGAGGCTATCGAACAAGGCATCATCTCCCTCAAATATGTTCCCACTAACGACCAAATCGCTGACATCCTCACCAAGGCTCTTCCGCTCGACAAAGTCAAGCACTTCCGACATCTGCTTGGAGTCCGTAGAGCTTGAGGGGGAGTGTTAGCGCGTGATCGGCTTGGGTGAGATGGCGAGATGAGGAGATGAAGACGACAGATCCCACATTTGGGATATCGACATCTGCACTGCCAGCGCAACGCTTCGTTCTGCCCTCGACGGTCGAACGAAGCGTGCGTACAGTTACTTACCTATGCAACTCATATATGCTTACACTATGCCAGTAATTATCCATTAGGTACTTATATACATTGGTTCTGCCCTCGACGGTCGAACGAAGCTAATTATCCATTAGCTCTGTGCTGCCCATCCGCGCACATCCGTCCGCCAAAGCGCATCTGCTTTAACATTGGTGATGCGTCAAGTCGAGTGGTTTCCAAGCAATACAGTAGACCAGGTGCGCATGTCTCTTACATGCTGTTCATTGTTTTGTGCTCAATAAAGTTGCAAGAAGGACAATTTTACCCTCATTAAATGTTTGCGAGTTGCATGTGGTGCGTATCCTAAGCGAATACTCGCATTGCTCAAGCTCATTCTTCAGATTTACTAGTAATTTCTTCTCGGATGGACGGACCTTTCCGAAGGATGGAAGATCGACGCTAGCGCCGACGACCAACTGTGGATGGCATCATGTAGACCATCTTCGCCGCATTACCGCCCTATAGCTTCGCCGGAATTTGACATATAGTCGCGGGATATTTCGTGGCGTTGAATGAACCGGATGACTGCATGATCAACCCCAACATCAATTCGTATGGGTGTGGCGGGTGGTCAGGATACAGTTCGATAATCGTCTCGACACGCATCACAGTATTCCACTCAGTCGGCCGATCAGGGTGCGTCAGCCATACCTTCTACTTTGCCATCTTTGACCGCCATCTATCAGCGATTGTTCAGTTGGTGGGGATATTCCCACCGAACTCAGACTCATATTCAGTAATCTCTTCGATAGCTTCCGCGACTGAGTTCCATTCACTTGGTGCAGCAAAGCGGACCGAGGACACAAAAGGACGGATTCGTCCTCTATACCAACTCTCCCGCAACCATGGTCCCCTTTCTCGTGGCTGAGATGCTGACGCTTTACATCGGTGTCTTCCTGTGCGGCATTTACGTCGTCACCGCAGGCATGGCCGGCCGCGCTCTGCTCACGCTGCCCACTGGCCAATGGCGGACCCTCCGCGAACTCAGCTGGATTCTCGTCGTGGTCTTCATGATGATTCTCATCAATACGATCGTGCAGACGACATTGCTGATGGTCCAGGCTATGGACGCGTTTGCGCTCTACACGGGTCCCGGGGGACCAGCAAAGGTCTTCACGCGTGGCTCTGCGTGGTTGACCCTCACAAAGGTGAGTCTTTTGAAATGCTCAGTGAACGATACTTGACATCATGGTCTTCGCGCAGACAACTTGTGTTGGCATCCAAACTCTAATGGGCGACGCGATCTTGGTAGGTACCGAATTTGTTTGTTTCGATATTCCACTTACGCGTCGTAATGCGTAGATCTGGCGCTGCTGGTTTGTCTGGAAAGCTAAGACACAGCTCGTCATCGTCTTGCCGGTGATGGGGTGGATCGCCAATTGCGTGCTCAATGCTTGGGTCGACCAGCTGCTCAGCAAAGTTTCTTCCGGGCTCGTCACAGGGAGCAAAATTCAGCCGTTCGGGAGAGCGTTCTGGATTCTCAGCATCTGTATCAACATTTACGCGACTTGTGCGTCTTTTCGCTGTTTGAAGACCGTAACACTGACATCATTTCTAGCGCTGATTGTGCTGCGGCTCTGGATGGTCGAGCGGAGCAATTCCCAATTCCGGGTCGCCTCGAATATGAACAACTCTGGCGTGAAGCGACCCAGGAGCCCTCTGAACCGCGCTATCCGCAATATTGTCGAGGGTGGTATGCTTATAACGGTCTCGTCGATCTTGATGTGCATTGCCTTTACTACGCAGAGCACGCTCAACTTTCCCGCTAGTGCATTTGTAAGTCGGATAATGTCCCAGGATCCCTCTTATCTCACCAATCATATATTTCTAGGCATTCCACAGCGTCGGCATCTCCTACAACCTCATCATCATCCGCAGCGCCTCGCGCGCCAGCCCCGAGCTGTCGAGCAGCAGAAACCAGGCGTCCATTCATCTTCATTCCAACGCGCCGGGCGGACACGGAATCCGCACGACCACCACCGTCATTACCGACGCGAAGCAGGACGCGTACCCGCTCTCGCATTTACCAACGAAACAGTCAGTGGATTACGTCGTTTGAAAGACGGGCCACAGTCTCGACCTTCCTTTATGTTGTTGTATGGAGGTACTAGTAAGGCTTATTGTTATTTGAGTTGTTATTTGGTGCTGTAAAAAAAGTTTCTCAAATCATTATTCTTATTTTCTTCGTAACTTTGAGCAAATTTGGAGTCATGTGAAGTGGTCGAGGTGCGAGTTCCATGAACACGAGAACACGGTTACTAAGACTTTGGGATGTAACCACTGATACGAATAGCACTGGCAGGTTCTGGCTTAGTGCCCATGTCCACGGGCCCTTTGCTCATCTGACTTCCAAAGCTCACTCACATGTTGTCACCGTACCCTGGACGTAGAAATGCGACGTGATGATGATGGTGGCCCCGGGCATTTGTAGTATACGTGTTAGCAAGGTGCGAATCATGACTTGAAGTTTCCGATGCAACTTGAAATGCCATGGAGATGCTATTAATATCCATATAAAAGTTGGAGCTCCACCTGGCTCCACCATTCAGAATGCCAGAGTCTGAACAGCTCGGAGGAGATAAGCGGCCCGACTAAGTGAGAAATTCCTTCGGATGTCGACCGCACAATCACCGGAGAGTCTAAGTGTATGTTCGCAATGAACTCCGTTACTTCAATTCTCCTTGCTCAAATGCGTTTTGGGGCAAGGGAGACAAAGCTCCACCCGGATTTTGGGTACTGAGAGAGCGAAACCGCGGGCTGATGACTTAGATCAACACAATCGATCGAATGAAGATTCTGATTGACAGCCGCCGAAAAAAAAACCATCAATCGGGCCATCTTCTTCTACCAATCAGTTTCTTGTCATACTCTCACTCAGGTCCCAACTCCGAGCTTCCCTTTCGATTCCAATTCTAATTCGATGCGCTGCCGCACTAACCGACGACACACTGGCCCGACAGGGCTGCAATAAGATTGCAGCGACAGCAATGTTAACCAAACCATCCATCCCCTTCTATGTTACTCCCTCTCCGTGGCGCACTCGCAGCTCTCGTCGCCTCTGAGAAGAGGGACGACCTGCTCTCCCCTCAGAGCCGTTGCGCTGCCCTCCAGACCACCCTTAAGCTGGCGAATACCCAAATACTTAACGTCACCTACATTCCTGGGCCAACGACGGTCTCAACACCGGGCTCTTGCGTCAGCTCCGCGGCGGTCAACAATGCTCCGCTCTGTCGTGTGCAGTTCGTGACGAACACAACTTCTACTTCCGCGCTACATGGCGAGGCATGGCTACCTGATGTGTGGTATGGTCGCTTCTTGGGTTTGGGCAATGCACAAGTGGGCGGATGTGCGTCGCATTCATCTTCTCTCGCGTGCGTTAATCTCTGACTGGCACTGCTAGGCGTTGACTACACCAATCTCGACTATGCCACAAGCCTCCACTTTGCCGTGATAAGCACTGACAATGGTCACGACGGGCTGACAGGGTTGCCCTTCCTCAACCACCCTGAGGTCATCAACGACTTTGGTTTCCGCTCCGTCCATACCGAGGCCATCTTGGGCAAGCAGATCGTCCAGAAATATTACAGTCGAGCTCCTGCGAAATCGTACTATATGGGCTGCTCGACCGGAGGAAGACAGGGAATTCAAGAAGCCCTGAAGTACCCCAACGACTTCGATGGTATTGTCGCTGGTTCACCCGCCACCGACTGGAACAACCTCCTTGGCTGGGCCGGCATGGTTTCCAAGGCTGTTGGCGCTCCTGCAGGTGCTGCTTCTCCGAGCTTCCTGACGACGGCAGATTGGGCGCTAGTGACAGCCGAAGCGTTGAAGCAGTGCGACGGCCTCGACGGACTCGTGGATGGCATCATTAACGAGCCGAACGACTGCAAGTTCGACCCGACCCCGCTCTTGTGCGCCGGAGACAAGACGGCCACCTGCTTGACCGCAGCGCAGGTCACCGCCGTTAAGAATGTGTTCTCGCCGCTTCGTGACTCAAACGGCGCGTTGATGTATCCCCAATACGATATCGGCGCTCAAGCGGATGGTCTTTACTCGCTTATTCTCGGCGGAAACTTCTTCTCTTTTACTGCGGTTCGTGTCTTACGCCTGCCTTCCTGCCAGTTGTTAAAGCGGTCTTCTAATAGGATTGGACACGCTATGCAGTCAAAAATGTTACGAGCTTCGACTTCACCAACTACAGCTTAGCGGACATCAAGCAGTCTATCCAGATCAATCCCGGTAGCACTGCGACATGGAACGGCGACCTGTCCGCCTTCCGCAGACGAGGGGGCAAGCTTCTGACATTCCATGGTCGTCGGGATCCGGTAAGTATCCTCACCAATCGTACAATTGCATCGATACCTGACTTGATCGCGTTTCACAGCTTATTCCTTCTTCCAACTCGAAGCGGATGTATGACATGATTGCCAAAACGCTCAAGACACCCTCTCTTGACGACTTTTACCGCCTTTTCCTGATCCCTGGCATGGGCCACTGCACCCGTGGAATTGACGGGGGCCCGACTGCGTTTGGGCAGGGCCAGTTTCCGGGGACAAACCGTGTCAACGACACCCAACATAACATCTTGCTTGCGCTCGTTGATTGGGTCGAGAAGGGCAAGGCGCCCAACACAATCACGGGCACGTCTCTCACCGACTTGACCATGCAAAAGGTCCATTGTCGCTACCCGATTGAGAAGAGCGTCTGGGACGGCAGTCAGTGGGTCTGCAAGAAGTGTGCTTGAGGAGTAAAACAGTGTTGTCATATCTTTGGCACTATGGTTATTTACTTATCTAACGCGCGTTGTCTCAGCCTGCGCCCACACATTCCTTTTTGCTATCTATATCGTTTAATCTCCTGTGTGCTGTACTACGGATTAATATTATTTGCTCTCCGGGCCAGATGTAATTCGGAATCGATTGTGATTATCTTTGTCACTAAGAATAGGAGTCCGTAGAACGCGAGAAGAACTTGAACTTGCCAGGAAATGGTGACAGACCGACATTGCTGAAAGGACTCCGAACCAACTCAGAACTTGGAGTGAATTTGAAAGCTAAATTTGGTTACAACTTGAACTCGTCCTATTTATGGACAATATATTTGAGTCTTGAAGCCGACATCGCCGGTAGCAACAGCAGCAAAACACTTGGCAGTACTTTGGCAGTGGCGCCAGCGTTACCGCTCGCGAGTCACGCTCGCACATCTTTTCCGGTCTTCTCCTGCCACGAATCCATCGAAGTATCTTCCAGGGTCAAATCTTCCACCATTGGCAAGACTATACTCCGACTTGATCGAGGTCAATTAACTTAATTCAGTCCCGACTCCTGATTCGAGCTTCCCAACTTCAAGTTTATTTCGAGTCATTCCGATTACTGACTGGAGTAAAGGAACAAAATATGAACATTGAACGTTAATTTACCAATAAAAGAACTGCAAGAGACGCGAATCCGGATCTCTGAGCTCAAGCCGCAAGTGATGCAACTTGGATGCAACACAGTGAGTAGATCTACTTCGACAGGATGATAAACGTTGACGGGAAACGGGAAGGTCGACAGTTATCGATTATCGATATCACGACATCTGTCAGCTTTTTGAGCGCTATGCCTATTCAATGGTGATTCGCCACATGGAACGGGTGGGGAAAAGTACCGCCGGCGCGGTGGAGTCTTGATCTTCTCTAACTTCTGAATACTGATATCATTGCAGTCTTCGGAGCGACACTGGGCGATGTCCCTTTGCCCTATAGGCCAGGAGACCACAAATAGCATTCGAGAGAGACCGCTAAGTCAGAGAGTCCCCCGTTCGTCTTCCCACATACTTGCAAACATGCTCTCCCTCCCTGCTGCCCATCTTCTCGCCGTCTACATCGCGACGTTCATGTACGGAATCTACGTCGTTACGCTTGGCATGGCGGGGCGGGCACTCCTCACGCTCCCCAGCGGCGAATGGCGCACAAGACGCGACATAAACTGGATCATCTTGGCCGTCTTCTGTGCACTCTTTATTAATGACACGTTGGACACTGTTTTGGCGCTGTTGGAGGCGATGGATGCATTCGCAATCTACAGCGGGCCTGGTGGACCTACACATGTCTTCTCACATGGATCGGGGTTCATGACATTGACCAAGGTGCGCTCGAATCCCAGTCTCCGACTCAATACCCACTCGAGTTGTTACAGACTGTTTGCGTTGGCATCCAAACCTTGATCGGCGATGCAATTCTGGTATGACACTAAGATCTGAAGAAACAGGCTAATTAGCCAATGTGATGCTAGATCTGGCGCTGCTGGTTCATTTGGAAGAGCAAAACTCAGCTGGTCATTGTATTACCCGTGATGGGATGGATTGCCAATTGCGTACTGAATGCATGGGTTGATCAGCTGCTGAGCAAGGTAACGGAGGGTCTGGTGACAGGAAGCAAGATCCAGCCATTTGGGAGGGCATTCTGGATTCTAAGCATTTGCATCAACATATATGCTACGGGTATGTCGTCTCCTTCCGGCTATTTGGAAAATCCAACCTATTTCAATCGCAGGTCTCATCGTGCTGCGTTTATGGATGGTTGAGCGAAACAACTCACAGTTTCGACTGGGTACAGGTTCAGCCACTACTGCAACAACCAAACGGAAAACCCCGCTTGCTCGGGCAATGCGTAACATAGTCGAATCTGGCCTTCTTATCACAGTCTCCTCAATTCTGATGTGTATTGCCTTCACAAAGCAAAGCACCCTGAACTTCCCCGCCAGTGCATTTGTGTGTCAATTCTTTTGTATTATTGTTGGTACTTACAAGTTTGCAGGCCTTCCAGAGTGTTGGAATTGCATTCAATCTCATCATTATCCGCTCCTCAAACTATGCAAACCAGGAGACAATTGCGCCGTCTTCCATTCAGTTTCATTCAAGTCCTCCAGCAGCCTTGGGACGTGGCATTCACACAACAACAACAGTTATTACAGATGCAAAGCAGGATACACTGTCATATCCACTTGTGCATATTCATAAGGGAACTGAGTCTGGTGATTATGCTGTTTAATTCTGCTGGAGAGCTTCCTGGATATGGTTGCCAATTAAATAAAGACATCTGTATTAGTTTCACCTTGGATTCCTATGCAATTCCAGTGTCAGGCTTCAGGTTGGGCTACCTGTGTGTGGCTCATATATTACCAGTGTATACTATGGGTAGGGCTCGGCACCGTACCGTAGTGCTACGGCAGTACGGCGCCGTAGTACGGTTACGGCGCCGTACCGTACCGGCCCTCAATAGCAGCTGGTACGGTACGGTACGGGTCCGGCCGGCCGCCGTACTTGCCGTAGCCGGAGCGCCGTATCCGGCCATGCTCCGGCCACTACGGCGGTCGCTTCTGATGGGGCTATTTGGCCTGGTCGTCGTGGGCCGAATGCCGCCTCGCGGGGTCCAGACTGTTGACTTGTCAGCGTCCTCATTGCTGACTGGTGATGGACGTGCCTCGGTGCTTGCCCGATGGTCGTCGGGGTGACATGACGTGACCCCGATGCGTCACATGTGGCGCCCGCAGGTGCGCAATGGGCGCTGACGACAAGCGCAGGCCTTCCAAGCAAACGAAGTCAGTCTAAGAGTCATTATGATGCCTCAAGACTCACCTGAAGTGGTAGAATGCTCGCCATCAGCGATTGATGGGAAGTCCGGCCGTATGACCGTATACGGCCGTACCGGAGCCGTACCGGAGCCGTACTGAGGGTCGCCAAGGGGGACTACGGTACGGCGACGGTCCGGGAGGCGCCGTACTGCGCCGTAAAAGTACGGCCGTAGCCGTATACGGTACGGCGCCGAGCCCTAACTATGGGGTCCAACCTGCTGGGTTGGACCTGATAACTTGAACTTACAACTTAAGATATAAGCCACATGGAAAAAGGACGGAATTGTGTAACTGTGACAACAGTGACATCTATGGAAATGAATACTGTACTTCAATTTGGCCAGATTACTGCTTTTTTGTTTTAATAGAATCTGTCAAACCCTGGGTGAAAAAACCTTTTTTTTCTTCACCCTTTAAACCTTTTATTTTAGCCCTGGTTGATAAGATAAGACAAGGAGGAGATACGATGGACGATAATATGGTGATTGGATCATCAGATGTTGATGCTGATGTTGATTGACAGTGTGGAGTTGGCCTGTGGAATGCAATGCTTGTGATGAAGAGTTCCAAGCCGACCCTGATCCGGAAGAAGGAGAGTCAATCTTGCTCGTGGACTTTGGTCCAGCAGTTGATCTCCGACTAAAAGAGACCCAAGCACAGCGAATGGCAGAAGAAGCTGGTCGAAACAAAGAACGAATGACCGAGGAAAAGATTCTCAATCAGTATCAAGAGTTTGTCAAAGTGTTTGCCAAAGAATCATTTGACTCTCTACCTGAACGTCGTCCATGGGATCATGCGATCGAACTCAAGCCAGACTCTAAGGATGTAGATTGCAAAATCTATCCTCTGTCTCGTGATGAACAAAGAGAGCTTGACAATTTCCTGGAAGAAAACCTAAAGAGTGGACACATCCAACCATCAAAGTCACCGATGGCATCTGCCTTCTTCTTTGTCAAAAAAAAGATGGCTCTCTTTGACCTGTGCAAGATTATCGGAAGTTAAACGAGATGACGATTAAAAACCGTTATCCTCTGTCCTTGATCTCTAAGCTCGTCAATAAGCTCCAAGGTACCCGATACTTCACAAAGCTTGACATTCGCTGGGGTTACAATAATGTGCGCATCAAAGAGGGAGACGAGTGGAAGGCAGCTTTCCGAACCAACCGTGGACTGTTTCAACTGTTTTGGGTGTATGTGATCTGATGAATGAAGGACATGTTGTCATCTATCTTGATGATATTCTTATCTTTACGGATTCACTGGAGGAACATCGGAAGATTGTTTGCCAGGTGCTTGAGGTTCTCCAGAAACACAAACTCTATCTCAAACCTGAAAAGTGTGAATTTGAACACACTGAGATTGAGTATCTGGAAGTAATTATCTTGCACAACTCAATGAAAATGGATCCCGTGAAGATCAAAGGTATCATGGAATGGCCGCAGCCCAGAACAGTAAAGCTTGTGCAAGCTTTCTTAGGGTTTACTAACTTTTACCGCCGATTCATTCGGGGCTACAGCGAAGTGGCTCGACCTTTGACCAAGCTTACTGGCAAAGGCAGTTGGACTTGGGGACCAGAACAGCAACAAGCCTTCGATGGACTGAAGTCGCGAATGGCTGAGGATGCAGTACTGGCACTGCCAACAGATGATGGAAAATTCCATCTTGAGGCTGATGCTTCTGAAGGTGCAATTGGAGCCATTCTTAGTCAAGAACAGAATGGTGTATGGCGTCCCATTGGGTTCTTGTCATATAGCCTGACAGAGACAGAGCAAAATTACAAAATCTATGACAAAGAAATACTCGCCATCATGTTCGCACTGGAAGAATATCGTGCCATCCTCATGGGTGCTAAGGAGACGTTCGAGATCTTCACTGACACTAGGGGCATAGGTAACGGCGTTGAGGAACAAGCGGGCCGACCTTGTGGCTGACGGTGTACTTACCGCCGGCCCACGGCGTCTTGACCATGTACCCAAAACCAAAGGGTTTCTTTGTTGGTGAACAAAGAGAACCACAACTTGGTGGTAATGCGGTAGGTACGCGGTAGGCTCGGCGACAGCCCCGCGTGTCCGGGCACGCCGTAAGTGATACCCCCAGTGTGATTATCAAAATCTTGAATATTTCAAGAAGCCCCAGAAGCTGAATCACCGACAAGCCTGATGATCTGTATCCGCGGATTGCGGATAGGTAGCTGTGCAGATATAGATATAGGTAGGGGTCCGGTATCCACGGATTTATCCGTGCCCATCCCTACCCACAAGCGAGTGACTGGTGAAGAGCATGCACACTGTAGAGGGGGTGAAAATGGCGGGAAAGGCCAAGAAGGAAGATGTCAGCATAGCCGCATAAGCAGCCGGCTGGACACGTCACCCACATAGCCGTGTGAGTCACCAGAGCCGAGTGAGTCAGCAAGAGTGAGTCATCTGGGTGCTAGGCAACGCGGCGCCGAGTGACTAGGCAACGCGGCGCCGAGTGACTCAGTGGCTTGTCCGCAGCAACGGCTGAGGTATATAAAGGGCCCCCATGTAGTAGGTAGACCAGTGAATCCCCCCCTTCGGGTTCCCTCCCCTTTCGCGCCGCTTTGGGCCAGGGTTAACGGAAGCCGTCAACGACTAAGCGAGTACTGTATACGATCACGATCACGGCCCCCGGGGTATTGTATTGAAGAACACCTGTCAACGTCGTCGCCGCTGTCGCCGTCGCCGCCGTCAACGTCAACGCCGTCGGTCCGAGAGTGAATAGGTGCCCTTGAGTTGTTACCCCGTTCCCACGCTAGAACTGCTGCGCGGTTCATCGAGTTCTTGCCTATACACCCTCCCCTTTCGTCGTCGGGTCTGGTACCCTTGAACCCACCTGCTTAGTCATCTCCGTGATCACGTGACCACACCGACTCTGTTTATGAGAAACAACTTGGCATAACCTTGGTTAGACTGTGACTATGCTCAGACGCATCTTGCCAAATATGGAACGTCGCCCTCACCTGATGGAGCGACCCATATCTGGAACATTATTGCTATATATGGCATATTATTTGATGCTCTTGATGCTGGCTTCAGTGCTATCAGCAACGACAATAACAAAAACAATAAATAACATATCAACAACAACAAATATATTCGATGTGACGGTGACTGTGACTACTACCCTTTTGGGAAGTTGCTTTGGTTTTGGTTTTGGTTTCGTATTGGGTTGGTGTTTAGAGGGAGTTGGTCTTTCCTCTTATGATATGGTGAGCAGGTCTTACATGTCTACACCCACACCCACACCCACACCCACATCCACATCACCCACATCATCACTATCATCATTGACATCATCACCACTTACATCATCATCACTCTCTATCTATCTATGGTTCCCACTCAGCTTTGTCATCTTCCTCTTCTTCTTATGGGTTGCAGCATGCATATACTTTGCATGGAGCCCTGACCTCACTCAGTTTGATTTAGTTGTTTGTGTTGTTTGTGGAGTTTCCACTTTCATCATAGCTTCTATTTCATGCGTTTCATCTGGAGCCCACCGAGGGGCTCATCCACAAGAAGAAAGACAATGACAAGCTGGAGTTGGGACCACCACACCTTGTACCATGTGACTCTGCTGGCAGGGTCACCCACAATAACAACATTGCTGTCATCAATGCTGGCCATGATCAGCAATCAGATGGAAGATAATATGCAGGGCAACATGCAGGGCAACATGCAGGGCAACATGCAGGGCAATATGGCCTCTGTGTTTATGGCTGGAAACTCACAGATACCTCGTCTGAAACAAGGGCAACCCTACTCTGGATCTAATGCAGCAGTTCCAGTACCAGCTTCTTCAGCTGTAGCTCCCTTTCGGATTCCAAGGTCATGGGAGGACCAATGCCCAAAGTTTACCAGTGATTTGATTGATGATCTGGTGGATTTTCTTGACAATATGGTCAGCATTTTCGAACTTGGCAGCATCAAGGATAAGCAGAAGAAGAAGGAGCTTCTGACAAGTTATCTGCCTACCAGGAAAAGGTTATTCTGGAGAGGACTTAGGACATATGGGGCTGCCTATTCATATGCTGCATTTATTGCAGAGATTCATTCCCTCTATCCAGAGTTGAAGGCAAGAGAAGTTGGAACATTGCATGGTCTGGAGGAACTATGTGCAGAGCATCAAGGACTTGAACTTGATAAAGAAGGACCCCTTATCAGGTTTGGAAGACAGTTTATGGTTCTGGTGGAGAAGCTCCAACAGGAACCTTCAATCTTGACAAATAGGGAAGCATGCAAGTATTACTTGGGAACATTTGACCATAGATCAGCAAAAGAATTGCAACAGGCAGTGCTGGATAGGAAGATAGGACAAATTGTTCTGGAAGAGCATGGTTGTAAGGGCAACCCTGGAGACTCCGACGAAAGCCTAGCAGGGGAGGATCCAAAGCGTGA